CTGTGGTCCCAGCTACTTGGGAGGCTGAGGCAGGAGACTCACTTGAGCCCAGGAGTTGGAGGTTGTTGTGAGCTGTGATGCCACAGCACTCTACCTAGAGGGACATCTTGAGGCTCTGTCTCAAAAAAAAAAACCAACAATAAAACTATTATAAATGGAAAAATAGGGAGGCGACTGGGGCCCAGTGGGTAGGGCGCCAGCCCCATATACCAAGGGTGGAGGGTTCAAACCAGCCCCAGCCAAAGCGCAACAACAACAACAACAAAAATAGCTGGGGGTTGTGGCGGGCGCCTGTGGTCCCAGCTACTCGGGAGGCTGAGGCAAGAGAATCGCCTAAGCCCAGGAGTTGGAGGTTGCTGTGAGCTATGATGCCATAGCACTCTACCAAGGGCGATAAAGTGAGACTCTGTCTCTTAAAAAAATAAATACATAAAAAAATAGAAAAATATACCCTTGATCCAATTTGCTAGGCTAAGTAAATGTTAAAGTCAACAAAAAAGCTCTACTCTGCAGAAGACCTAAATCATGCAAATGAATAGTGACTCACCTTGGACTCCTCACATCAAGTTGATAAATGTTTCCATCTTGTGTCCCAGCCAACAGCAAGAAGCCAGAGAGAAAAGTACAGCAGTTGAAGGCATCTGAGCCAACAAAGAGGAACACCTAAGAACAAGCAGGGGACAAAAATGCTATTTAAATACTAATTTGTTTCCAGTAATAAACAGTTACTGAAAAAGAGAAAATTTCAGTATTTCTAAGGACATTTTCTTTCTTTCCCCTTTAATCATTCTCATATAGTATATTAGGCACTCACCAATAACTGAGAGGAAATACTCCCAGGATTTTAGGAGCCTGAGGTTGGCTGAGGACTTGAGCAGAATACCATACGGTGAGGTAGCAACACATTGTTCCCTAGAAATCTCACCATCAAAAGGCCTTTTTTTCCCTTTTCATTATAACCTTCAATTTGAGAAGTACTTATAATTTCTACATTTAAGTTTTGCTTCATGTCGCTTCCAGCAACCTTTTCAAGAGTGGTACTTTGTAGAAAAAGAAACAAGCTTAAATAAAGTAGTAATGTAAAGAACCATATTTCTCCCCATACATATGAAAAAAGAATTAGGTTTTCTTTTTCCTTGTTTTTTACATCTTATTTATTTATTTTATTTATTTGAGACAGAGTCTCATTCTGTCACCCTAGGTAGTGTGCCATGGCATCATCATAACTCACAACAACCTCAAACTGAGGGGTTCAAGAGATTCTCTTGCCTCAGCATCCTGAGTAGCCAGGACTACAGGCACCTGCCACAATGCCCAGATAATTTTTCTATTTTTAGTACAGATAGGGTCTCACTCTTGCTCAGGCTGGTCTCAAACTCCTGATCTCAAGCAATCCACCCGCCTTCACTCTTTCTTATTCAGGCTGGTCTTGAATTCCTAATCTCAAGTAATCCACCCACCCTGGCCTCTCAGAGTGCTAGGATTATAGGCAACAGCTACCTCACCCGGCCTTGTCTTTTATTTTCAAGATTTGGGGGTGGGGGTGTCTTCCTATGTTACCCCGGCTTGTCTCAAACTCATAGCCTTGAGGGGTCTCCCATCTTGGCCTCCCTAGTTGTTGAAACTGTAAGCGTGAGGCACTGCACCTAGCTGAAGATTTTCATTTACTCCTTACTTTTAGCTGAAAGTGACAATCATTTTTCCCTCAAATGTTCTAAAAAGAAAAAAGAAAATAAAAATACCCTGATTTCCCTTTGTATATAAAAGCCAGCATGGCAACACAAGTGCAAAGGCAATATTAGCAGAAATGATGATATTTCTGAAATAAACTTTGAAAGTGGAAATATCACCAATGCAATACAATAACAAGATGAAATGAAAATAACAAACCTGTGGCCAAATCAAATCATTAAAGTTATGTGGAGCTAGAAGGAAATTTAAAAAATCTCATCTCAGGGAAGACAGAATTTAGTTAAGAGCACTGTCTGCCTAACAAAACTTCAGAGGATGAAGGAAGAAAATTCGGCTAATGGTTTTGGTCATTAATTGATCAAGAGCTCTGAATGCACTAGTCCTTTGCTCAGATTTTCTTCACATTACCTTAGAAGTAAAAAGACCCATAAATAAAATCTATACCACCTCATCATTTTACATATAAGACACTAACGCCAAGAGAGGGAAAAGGACTTAAAGCAGTAGTAGAGCATTTATAGTCCTTATCACATAACCCTATGAGGTAAGTCCTGTTATGCCCAGTTTAGTGATAAGAAAATTGAGGTTCAGAGAGGTTACGTTGTCTAATGCAGTCATTAAGTAGAAGAGCTGAGATTTGCATGTTGCCTTTATTCCAAATCCCATGGTTTTAACTGCCATACTGTATTGCCTCTCACCCATGCAGCCTCCTCAAAAGTGGGCACAGAGAGCAAGCAGAAAAGGTTCCAAAACAACTTTCCCAGAATCAGAGTGACCAGGTTGCCTCAGAGTTAAAAGATTGTATAGGAAAACACTTGCCGGCTGCCTGCTCTGTAGTCCCAAGCACTGAAGCTTCTTATCTTCCCGGGCCACCACCAGCATTTTTGCCTCTGTTCCAACCTCTCGTTCACCTGCATGATAGATAAGCTATGTTAGTAACACCTGGCTGATCAGGTGGCAGTGCCCACAAAGCACAGATCCTTACAGCTGTTTCCTGACTGTGCTCTAGGTTAGTGACTCACTTGTTAATTGAAAATAAACATTTATTTAAGTTCTACATCTTACTGTGGTATTATTTATACAACTGTACACATTTGTCAAAACTCATAAAACTATGCAATTTAAAAGGGTGACTCTTACTATATGTAAAATATACCTCAATAAGCCTACCCTTAAAAATATTAAATTAATTGTAATGTAATGAGATACTACACTAGAAGCAGGGGTAGAATGCTGAAAAAAAGAAATAGTCTCTGACCTCAAGAATCTTACAGCACGGAGGATATGAAATTTATTCATTTACTCAACAAATATTTATTGAAGGTCTTCTAAGTAGGTCTTCTCAGTGCTAAATAGTAATGAACAAACAGAAAAGGTTCTTACTCTCTAGGATTCTAGTGGAAAGAGACCATAGGTAAATAAACAAGTAGGATACTTGTCAGAGAGTGATGAGCTGTAAAAGGAAATGCAATAGGAAAGTATGATCAAAAGTGAGTAAATGGGGCGGCGCCTGTGGCTCAGTGAGTAGGGCGCCGGCCCCATGTACCACGGATGACAGGTTCAAACCTGGCCCTGGCCAAACTGCAACAAAAAAATAGCCAGGCATTGTGGCAGGCACCTATAGTCCCAGCTACTCGGGAGGCTAAGGCAAGAGAATCTCCTAAGCCCAAGAGCTGGAGGTTGCTGTGAGCCGTTGATGCCCTAGCACTCTACCAAGGGCGACAAAGTAAGATTCTGCCTCTTGAAAAAAAAAAAGTGAGTAAATGGTAGGAGGTTGGGTGGGGGAGGATAGGTTTAAATTTAAACTTCAACTTTAAAAAAGTTCTGTGAAAGCTGGGCACAGAGGCTCACACTTGTAATCCTAGCACTCTGGGAGGCCAAGGTGGGTAGATTGCCTGAGCTCAGGAGTTTGAGACCAGCCTGAGCAAGAGCAAGACCTTGTCTCCAAAAAATAAATAAATAAATAAATAGCTGGGCATTGTGGTGAGCACCTATAGTCCTAGCTACTTAGGAGGCTGAGGCAAGAGAATCACTCAAGCCCAAGAGTTTGAGGTTGCTGTGAGCTATGACACCACAACAGTCAACCCCAGGGTGACTGAGTGAGACTGTCTCAAAGGCCAAAAAAAAAAAAAGGTTCTGTGAAAGTCATTTTCAACAGAGACCTGAATGGTGAACAGAAGCCAGTCATGTGAAGAGCTACAAGAAGTATATTCCAGACTAGGAGAAGAAGAAGGCAAAGTCCAAAGACCAAGAGAGTCTGCTATGCTGAATGAACAAGCAGAAGGCCTTTCACTGAAATGTTCTGGGCCTGGCAGAGGGTGGTACTATATGAAGGCTGGAGAGGAATGCAGGGGTCAAAAAAGTGTAAGGGCTTATTGTGAGCCATTCTAAGGGGTTAGGACTTTAACATATGGATAAAGGGAGGTCACTGAAGAGTAGGTCTTCTAAGCAGAAGAGTAACATGACATTATTTATTTATTTGTTATTTATTTATTTATTTATTTGAGACAGAGCCTCAAGCTGTTGCCCTAGGTAGAGTGTCATGGCGTCATCATAGCTCAAAGCAACCTCCAACTCTTGGGCTCAAGCTGTCCTCTTGCCTCAGTTTTTTCTATATTTAGTAGAGATGGTGTCTCATTCTTATTCAGACTGGTCTTGAAACCATGAGCTCAAGCAATCTACCCACCTCAGCCTCCTAGGGTGCTAGGATTACAGGCATGAGCCACTGCGCCTGGCCTATATGACTTCATGTTATTTCTTTTCTTTTCTTTTTTATTTTTTTTGAGACAGAGTCTAACTTTGTTGCCTCAGTAGAGTGCCATAACATCATAGCTCACAGCAACTTCAAACTCTTGGGCTCAAGTGATCCGCTTGCCTCAGCCTCCCAAGTAGCTGGGACTACAGATGTCCACCACAATACCTGGCTATTTTTAGAGATGGGGTCTCCCCCTCTGGTTCAGGCTGGTCTCGAACTCCTAAGCTTAAGCAATCCACCTACTTTAGCCTGCCAGAGTGCTAGGATATTTATGTTATTTCTTAATGGCCACAACAGTTGCTCTAAAGAGAATGGATTATAGGAGAATAGTTTGGGTAGTAGTATAGGCAATAAATGATAATAGATTAGACGAAGATGTTGGCAAGTGAGAGAGAAGGAGGGAGTGGGAGGGAGAGGGAGAAGTAGAAAAATTAAAAAACACTCACTTTGAAGGTAGAGATGATACACTTTGTTGATGAAGGACATGAGGAAAAAGGGGGTGGACCAAAAATTAAATCTTAGGCTTTGGCTTGAACAAACGTGTAGGTGGTAGCACTTTTTTCTGTGACAGGGAAAACCAGATGGAGTGCGGAAATCAAACACCCCTTATTTGACAAGGTAAGTTCAGGTTATCTATTGAACATCTATACAGAGTCCGGAACTCAAGTGAGTGGAACTCAAGTGGTCTATGCTTTAGAGGTACTAGATGTACTTTTGCAAATCATCAGCTTAAATACAATATTTAAATCTATGGAACTGATGAGACACGTAGGGAGAAACTGTAGGTAGAGCTGAGGGCCCATGACTTAATTGTGAGCCCTCCAATATTTAAAGTAGAAGAGAGGAGATTTATAAAAGGACACTAAGAAGTAGTAGCCAATGAGACAGGAAGAAAAACAGTATAGTGTGGTATCACAGAAGCTAAGAAAGAAGAGTGCTTTGCTTTTTTCAGTTTTTGGCTGGGGCTGGGTTTGAACCTACCACCTCCAGTATATGGGGCTGGTGCCCTACTTACTGAGCCACAGGCACCGCCCAAGAAAAGTGTTTTGAGGGATACTATTCAGAAAGACAAGCACAGAGAAGACTAGATTAGGCAATATGAAGGTCACTGGTGACCTTGACAAGAGCCATTTCAGTCACATAGTTGGGTATAAATCATCCTAGAATAGGTTGAAGAGTAAATGGGAAATGAAAAAGTAGAGAAAAGAATATTTTCACTTAAATTACTTTAATTATCAACTAGTTTTTTAAAAACTTGGTTTAAGTAATGTTTGTGAAGTCCTAAGTATAATATTAGTTATTATATTAATCTATAACTATTGAAATGATTTATCACTAATTGCACATGTATCACGCTTTGAGAAATAGACTCTCCCTATTAATCCATTAATTCTCAAAGAAGGACCAGGAAACATCTAGTGGTTAGCAACAATTTTTTTTTTTTGTTGTTCTTTTTTTAAGAGACAGAGTCTCATCTTATGGCCCTCGGTAGAGTGCTGTGGCGTCACAGCTCACAGCAACCTCCAACTTCTGGGCTTAGGAGATTCTCTTGCCTTAGCCTCCCGAGTAGCTGGGACCACAGGCACCTGCCACAACACCCAGCTATTTTTTTGTTGCAGTTTAGCCGGGGTGGGGTTTGAACCCGCCACCCTCAGTATATGGAGCTGGTGTCCTACTCACCCAGCCAGAGGTGCCGCCTGAGGAAGAAGTTTTAACAGTTCTTAGAACATAGTGCATCAACATGCAAAATTTAAGATGGGGGTAGGGAGAGTGTGTGTGAGTGTGTGTGTGAAAGAGAGAGAGAGCACCTATATAGTGTATCAAAAGTCAGGGGAAGAATTAACCCAAATGAGTTAAAATTTTGGCTCACAAAAAAAACCCTGCACTGAGATGATTATAGCAGCTTTAATCATAACTGCCAAAACTGGAAGCATCCAAGATGTCCTTCAGAGTAGGTGAATGGATAAGCTGTGGTACATTCAGACAATAGAAAATTATTCAGCGCTAACAAGAAATGAGCTATCAAGCCAAGACAAGGAGGAACCTTAAATGCCTCTTACTAAGTGAAAGAAGACAATCTGAAAAGGCTACCAACTGTATGATTCCAACTCCAATGTTCTGGAAAAGGTAAAACTATAGAAATAGTAAAAAGATCAGTTGTTACCAGGGGCTAGGAGAGAAGGAGGGATGAAACGGCAGAGCACAAAGGATTTTTAGGGTGATGAAACATTTTCTATGATACTACAATGGTTGATTCATTTGTGGAAACCTACATAATGTGAACCCAAGAGTGAACCCTAATATAAACTATGAACTTTGGGTGATCATGATGTGCCAATGGAGATTCCACAATTATAAAAAATGTACCACTTTGGAAGAACCACAGTCTACAATGACTCCCTAGCAGGCTGAGCACCCATAATCCCAAAGCTGGGCTGTCCCATCTTGAGAACCAGACACCACATTCCTCTGGTGAGGGATGTTGATAGTGGGGAAGGCTATCAATGTGTAGGGTGGAGAGCATATGAAAACTCTGTCCTTTCTTGCTATGAACCTAAGACTGCTTTAAAAAATAAAGTCTATTTTTGTTAAATGTAAGGGGTTAAGATGATGGTAGGAAAAAATAGTCTTATGGAACAGAGAAACAATTATTAATTATTATCATGGGAAAATAGAGGATGAAAGTTGCCTTATTAGGACCTTTATTATTCTATCTCAACAGAGCTATTCAGCCTATTTGCCACTAGTCCCACTCTTAATTCAACCTTCTAGCCCAGCCAAGCACATCTTTTTATAAAACTAAGATCCATATCCAAGCTGTAATGCAACTGCCCCTATGTCTGCCCCTATGCCCTAACTCCCATTCTCTTACTCTTACCATTCTTGTCTTTTCAATTTGAACTCATCCGTCAAAGGTTTAAGCTAACTTCTTTTGTGACACTTTTCTCACCCATACTAACCTGAAATATTCCTTTCCTCTGAAAACCTACTACTATAAGCATTAAGAATAAAACTACTTTAAAATAGGCTCGGCGCCCATAGCACAGTGGTCACAGCACCAGCTACATACACCAAAAGGTGGCAGGTTCGAGCCCAGCCCAAGCCAGCTAACCAACAATGGCAACTGTAAGAAAAACAAAAAAAACAAAAAAGTGCTTTAAAATAATTTGCCAGGCACAGTGACTCATACCTATGAGTCCCAATTACATGGAAGGCTGAGTGGGAGGATGGCTTGAGCCCAGGAGTTTGAGGCCAGACCCCATGTCTACAAAAAATTAAATAAATAAATAAAAAGAATCACTACTTAATTTTAGCCAAAATGTTATTGTTCTCTAAATGTTTTATAGGCATTTATCTCATCTGCTAAATTAGACTGTACTTACTGAAATGCAGTGACTATGACATATACTCCCTTTGTAGATTTCAAGGCAACAGAAATATAGTAGGTATAGAATAAATATTAATGGCACAGTAAAAACAGAAATACCAGCTACAGTGCAGGAAAGGAAGAAGAAAAGGGGAAACTAAGGCAAATACTGAAGGGAGCTTAAGAAAACAAGCTTCACACATGTCATCTACTTACTGGGCATCTGCTCAGGAGAGCCAAGGTTTATGGAGTTGTCAGCAGCACCCACCGCCACTCCATTGATGGAAGAACCACAGTCTGCAATGACTCCTAAGCAGGCTGAGCGCCCACAATCCCAAAGGCGTGCTGTCCCATCTCGAGAACCAGACACCACATTCCTGCCCCGATCAACAATGGCTGTATCTAGGATACCTGGTGAGAGAAAAAAAGTCCCTAAGATGGAGGAGGTAGTAAAGGAAGTGCAAGGGCAGAGAAGGTGGGACTGTAACTGAGCCCACCCCTTTACAAACATGTTCTAATGTACTATGCGCTGGGGTGCACTCAAGTACTATTTATTTCTTCACAGAAATAAATAGAAAGTCCCTACTTTCCAGTGGTTCAAAAAGGAGCTATGACAGACAGACATAAAAAAACCTCTGGATCTAATTTTTAGTGGTGTATTCTAGAGTAGTGGTTTTTAAGTTTTTATTTTGGCTTCAACATCCTTTTTATTTTTATTTATTTATTTTTGAGACTGAGTCTCACTATGTCACCTTCAGTAGAGTACCATGTCGTCACAGCTCACAGCAACCTCAAAGTCTCGGGCTTAAGAGATTCTCCTGCCTCAGCCTCCCAAGTAGCTGGGACTACAGGCGCCTGCCACAAGGCCCAGCTATTTTTTTTGTTGCAGTTGTCATTGTTGTTTAGCAGGCCTGGGCCAGGTTTGAACCCACCAGCCTCGGTGTACACAGTATCCATTGTGCTACAGGTGCTGAGCCTCAAAATACTTTTTAAAAATCACTGCCTTCAGGTTTGGTACCCATAGCATAGTGGATACGGCGCCAGTCACATACACCAAGGGTGGTGGGTTCGAACCTGGTCTGGGATAGCTAAACAACAATGCCAGGTGTTTTGGCAGGCACCTGTAGTCCCAACTACTTGAGAGGCTTAGGCAAGAGACTCGCTTAAGCCCAAGAGTTTGAGGTTGTTGTGAGCTGTGACACTATGGCACTCTACCAAGGGTGACATAGAGAGACTCTGTCTTAAAACAAATAAACAAACAAAAAGCCCTCCAAAATCACAGCCTTCAAAGATCCTGCTTGCTGGTTCCACTGAGAAGTGATTAAAAGGGTTAGCCCCAAATTCTGGAGGGAGGATTTTTTTTTTTTTTGAGACAGAATCTCAATCAATCTCTATCCCCTGGATAGAGTGCAATGTGGCATCATACCTCCCAGAAACCTCAAAGTCTTGGGCTCAAGCAATCTTCTTATCTCAACCTCCAGAGAAGCTGGGACTATAGGTGCCAAACAGAATGTAAAGCTAGTTTTTCCATTTTTAGAAAAGAAAGGGTCTTGCTTTGCTCTGGGTGATCTCGAACTTCTGAGCTCAGGCAATCCATTCACAATGGCTCCCCCAGAGTGCCAGGATGTGACTTTTGGCTCTGGCCGAGATGGAGTAGACCCTACTCCTATGTCCTTCCCTTATAACTTAAAAAGCATGGACACAGCAAGCAAAGGGAGATGCTGAATGATGAGGAAAGAAGGTAATGGACTACTTAGGGACCTCAGGACCCAAAGAACATGGCAATGAGTTCTTGGATTTTCTTACTGTCTCCCATATATCTTGGACAGTACATTGCAGAAACCTCAGACAAACTGTCAATAATCCAAAAGATTAAAACCAAAACAAAACAGACCAATTCCCAGAAAAGTCTGTTGCCCATAGACAAAAGACTAGGAAAGTAATGGCCTCACAGAAAACTTTCTTGGCAACACCCACCGTACTGTCCAATTGACACCAGCAGAAAAACTGCTACTCCCCCTCCCCCCGGCTTTGGCAGAGTTGGATAGGAAGTAATCTTCCACCCCTATGTAAGCAGCCAGCAGCCCTCCAATTCTCCTACCTAGTAGGGCTCACCAGGCTAGGCAGGGTACTATCAACAGGGTCCAGAAGGGATTTGAACCTCCACCTTCACTTGGCAGCAGCAGGCAGAAGGAAGTAGGATGAGGCAGTAGGAAGAAGCACTCCATTTTCCCCAACCCCTCCCCTGGTTTCCCTCAAGCTCTTCCCTGGTGTCAGTCAGGAGGGAACTGAGCTTATAACTCAAGGAGGCAATGAGGTGGTACAAGTCCTACTTTCACCAAGAAGGTGTCAACAGGACCAAAGAGAAACTTCCACCTCATCTGCCTGCAATGAAGCAGTGTGAGTCAGAGCTCCTCTTTTCCCAGGGTAGTGCCAGAGGAGCCCAGTAGGAGGCTGCACATTCACATCTACCCAGCCTCTACCCACACCTCAATAGGGACTGCCTGCCAAAAGAAGTTATAAAATTAAGACCCAGAGTGTTACAACAAAATACCCAAGATGTCCACGAGTTTCATAATTTTTGAAACCTTTATTGTCCATCATCTGAATATCTGCTATGGCCTCTAGCCTCAGGAATACATAGCAGAAAAAGAGATAATTACGGACATAAAGACATTCAAAACAGGTATAATAATGCAGGGTTGTACAGAGCAGAAAGATAGTACAACCCTATTGTGATCCTGGCAGGGCTTCTACAATGTTTATTTTATTAAAACCCAATTAACAGAGCCTATAACAGGTGCCCAATTAATTAAGAGTATCTGGGATCGGCACCTGTAGCTCAGCGGCTAGGGTGCCAGCCACATATACTGGAGCTGACGGGTTCGAATCCAGCCTGGGCCTACCAAACAACAATGACAACTACAACCAAAGAAATAGCCAGGCATTGGGGTGGGCACCTGTAGTCCCAGCTACTTGGGAGGCTGAGGCAAGAGAATCGCCTATGCCCAAGAGCTGGAGGTTGCTGTGCGCTGTAACGCCACAGCACTCTACCAAGGGTAACAAAGTGAGACTCTGTCTCTAAAACAAAAAAAAAATTTCTTCTCTAAAAAAATAAGAAAACTTAACCGGGTACAGCAGGACATGCTTGTACTTGCAGCTACTCAGGAGGCTGAGGTGGAGTATCACTTGACCCAGGAGTTTGAGGCT